TAAAACTGAGAAGGCCACTGTTACCTCCATACCTTGTCTCTAAGGCTATGCTGTTCTCCTTCCCTACCTGGTACATATGTACAAGTTTCCTTTTCCTCTTGGTTCTGCTGGAAAAAAATGAATTCTTCAAAAAGAAGCTTTATGAGGAATAAATAAGTGAGAAAAAGCAAAAAAAAAAAAAAAAAGCCCTCAAAGATATAAATCTATGTATTACAAAGGACAAACTACTTATGTTAAGCTATATAACAATTGTCTTCAAACTGAGAAGCTTCCACAACTCCTTTTTGTGAACATTAGTTCAAACTTTTCACCACTTAGCCTGGGATGAGCTTATATTCTTGCTGTCAGTAGTACTGGTGAAACTAGGAATCTTTTTGAACGTACTTTCTTGTTTTCTAGCCCAACTCAGTTCTCTATTAAGGAACAGGAAATAGGAATTCAATAAAGAAGTGCTATATCAGAATAGAGTGTATATTTTAGGGACATGATCCTGGCAGAGCAAAAGATTACTCCAAGAGATGACTTTTTCTGATATGACTGTAGGGCAATAAGACCTTAGGCCATCCTGCTCTTAATGTATATTTTACTATATCACTCTGGTTCCTGTAAATCCTGTTGTATCTCAGGACCTCTTCACTTTCTTCCCATCAACCAGGTAGTTACTTGCTAAGATGAAATTTAGTTTCTTCATCTACTCTCTTAACTGTTGGATTCTAGATCTCTCTCTCTTCTTCCCTCACCTCAAATGTTTCAAATAATACAAAGTCTTATTTTCCAACGACTATGAAAATATATTAGAAATCAATAAAAGAAAGATTTCTTGAAAATACCTGAATATTTGGAAACTAAATAACACACTACTTAATAGCCTGATGGGTCAAAAGAGAAATCTGAAAAGAAATTAGAAAGTATTTTGAATGGAAGGGGGATGAAAGCAGGCCTATAAAAGATACTCTGAGGAAAATTTATAGCATTAAATGTGTTTGTTGGGAAAGAAGTTAGATCTCTAATCAATGAGCTCAGTTTCTATCTCAAGAAACTAGGAAAAGAAGAGCAAATCAAACCCTATGTAAGCAGAAGAAAGAAAATAAATATCAGAGCAGAAATAAATAAAATAGAAAACAGAGAAACAATATAGAAATCAGTTAATTGAAAGCTGGTTCTATGAGATCAATAAAACTGATTAGCTTCTAGTCAAACTAATCAGGAAGAAAGAGTAAAGACACAAATTATCAATACCAGAAATGCAAAAAGTGTCATCAATACATATTCTACAGATATTAAAATAATGAGATACTACAAATTTAAGCCAATAAATTCTACAACTTTATAATTGACAAGATACTTGAAAGGCAAAAACAATAAAATATGGCTCAAAAATAAATATATAACCTAAATAGTTTTATACCTATTGTGGAAGTTGAATTTGTAGTTTAAAAATATTGCAAGAACACTTATTACCAAGTGGGGTTATCCCAGCTGTACAAGGCTGATTCAACATCAATAAATATAATTCAACACTTTAAAAGCCTAAGAGAAACAAGACAAACAAACGGAGACTCATGAACATGGACAATAGACTAGTGGTTAGCAGAGGGACGGGGTAAAAGGGGTCAAATATGTGGTGACAGAAAGAAATCTATGCAAGATGAACACACAATGTAAACATATATATGCCTTACTGTTAAAATGTACAGCTGAAACTTATTGGATTTCGTTAACCAATGTCACCATAAAAAGTAAATTAATTAAAACTATAATCCTTAAAACAAACAAACAAATAAAAGCCTAAAAGAAGAAAAAACATCATCATCTCAATATACGCAGGAAAAGTACTTGGTGAAATTCAACATCTCTTCATGATTAAAAGTCTTAGAAAACTGGGAATAGAGGAGAGCTTACAAAACCTGCTAGAGGGAATATACTTAATCATATATAATGGTAAAAGACTAAATGCTTTCTGCACAGATCAGAAATATGGCAAGGCTGTCTGCTCTCAGTACTTCTCTTCAACATTTGTCCTGGAAGTCTTAGAGCAATAAGACAAGAAAAATAAGGTATACAAATTGAAAGGGAAGTCATAAAACTTTCTATTCACAAAAGATATGTTCTACATAGAAAACTCTAAGGAATCTAAAAAACACTCCTATAAGTTTAGTGAGGTCACAGGATAAAATATCAATGTATACAAATAAATTTTGTTTCTATATATGAGCAACAATTGGAAATTAAAAAGTTAAAAGCACCATTTCCAAAAATTTGAAATACTTAGATATAAATGTGATAAAATATGTGTAAGATCTGTACACTGAAAACTACAAAACATTTATGAAAGAAATCATAGAATATCTAAACAAATTAAGAGATATACCATATAAATGAAGTAGAGATTCAATATTGTAAATATGTCACTTATGGGGGGGGAAATATCATCTAAGAAGAAAACACTAAGTCAAAGGTGCATTTAGCACTATTGAAAGATACCAGATAAATATGTAAAAATCAACTGAATTTCTATATACTAGCAATGAATAAAAGAAAATGGAAATTGATGTTAAAAGAATGAAAAGACAAACCACAGACTGGAGTAAAATACTTCTAAATCATATATCCGATAGAGGAATTGTATCCAGGATACACAAAGAATGTTCAAATGCAATAATAAGAAAACAAACAATCCAATAAAAAATAAACAAAAGATTTGACAGATGCCAGTTTTATGGACAAAACCCTTCTGATCTTTTTGAGGATAATAATGATAGATATTTGAAGTTTTTGTCTTCTGACATAGTCTCTGTACATTTGCTTTGATTCTGTTTTTTCATATTAGGCTTTATTCAGATGTATGATAATACATGGTTGTCTATTCATTTCTAAGAGGACCTAAAAACTCATTGGAAGCACTAAGCATATGAGTGGTGTTTGTCAACAGTGGACTTCATTGTACGGTGATTAGGCTAGCAGGTTTATTGGAGAACCCATATGTTAATACCTTTAGGTCTTTCCTCTTGGACAGATCATTTTCCTCAGAGAAGAATTTCCCCAAATTCTACTTTGAGATTGGTGGCCTATGCCTAAGCTGTCAGTCTCCTAGGAGTTGAATCCGGGTAGAAGGCTGGGCATGAGGTTTGAGAAGGGAGAGAAAAATCTAAGCATTCGGTATGTAAACATTCTGCTCCCTGGAAAGGGCTCCACAGACATTGTTTTCCATGGTCCTTGGCTCTATCCTCTGGGAATTCCTCCTTACCCATTATCCTTGGTGGCATCTGAAATGGACACCTAAGAAGTGATCTAGTGTAACAAAAAACCCATCAATTATCTATTAAATGTCTTTACTTAAAAAGAGAACCTCTAAACCAGGCTTTTGTGTTTTTCTAAGCTAGTTTGCTAGCATATTACCTCAAAGATCCCTGAATTTCAAGAAAAATAGGCATTTACTCAATCCCCGGGGGTCTGAATTATAACTAGTCTCAAGCAATCATCATGTCATTCTCCTAGCTCTGATGGCCAGCTGACACCTGCTAATGAAATATAAGCAGAAGGGGGAAGTACAAGATGGCAGCGACATAGGAGGACACTGAACTCACCTCCTCCCATGAGCAAAATATAAACAGAAGTCTTCTGGGTGGAACTTTTGGGAAAACATTTACTCTCCTAATTAAAAAGGGAAAATTCACAAAGCACAATATGCCATTACCCATTTTCTTGCTGGTAAATGGACATATGCATCAGAGATGCAACCATCTTGCACCCTGGGGCAATGAGTAACAGGATGAAGACAGCAGATAGAGTCTGGATTCTTGATAACATTGTTGAGCCACTAACCAGCCCTTGATGTGGCTACTCCTGATATCTTGTCATATGAGAAAAATAAGACCATCACTCTTAAATCAACGTATGTTGGGTTTTCCTGTAATTTGCAGCTAAACCATTCCTAGCTCATATCACTAAATTAGTTGAGCATCTTTTTCTGACATTTATTTTCTTTTCAAAGTTCCCTTTCTGTAAATTACCTTTTAATATACTTTGTCTATTTTTCTGTTGAACTATTTATCTTTTTATCTTGATTTGTTGTCATTCCTCCTGTTTTCTGGGTATTAACCCTTTGTCTATTATATATGTTGCAAATACCATCTTTTGTCAGTTCTAAGATGTTTGTTTATGCATATTTGAATATCTCTGAAACTGAGATTTTGCTAGGAAGCCAATGAGGCTTAAATTTCACAGTTCTTCACTTGCACCAATCCCTTCCAAAATTTACAATAGTGAAACATTTTAACCTCAATCTGTTAAGGTCTTTCTATTACAACTTCCTCCTTCAGGTGATGTTGGAATGGTCACAGACACTTTTTTAGAGCCCCATAAGAGAAGTTCGAATTAAGGAATATTTAGTTTTTATTTAATGTGGTTTGCAGTCATTCCTGTGTATAGTTAAGTTATAGCTAAATGTCTTGGTATAGAAAGGGTTTCCAGGAATACTCTTATCTGTGCCAACCTAGCATTATGACACAAAGAAAGAGCCGGAGGTCATATCATGATATGAATGTTTCCTACAATACCCAGAACCAGAAGTATGTGGTAGTGAAGGAAAAACAAGGTTTGAAATGGCCTTTCCCTTCTTATCACAAGATGGTTGGTGTGTCTGCAGGCACTGAATTCACATCCCAAGTGAAAATAAAATGAGGACAGCACCAGCTTCATTGGTCTCTCTTATTAGGTGCGTGAAAGCTATCCCCAATGTCTCTCATCAGACCTTTCCTCATGTTTTATTAGCCAGAACTAGGAAATTTTCAAGAAGTTTGGGAAAGTGTGGAATGTGAATTTTATGACTGGCCCAGACCAATAATAATGTACTGCATGATAGTAATGAATCATATTTGGCTATATTCTGCCCCAAATAAAAATGGGATATTGGGAGGGCAATCAACAGTGTTGGTCACAAATACCCTCCCCAAGCCTAGACCGTGGGAAACCGCCCTAGGAGACCCTGATCTGCACAAGAGACACATATGCAGGATCACTGTCTCACATATGCAGGTCCTAAGAGTTCAGAGATGGAGGAAGAGAAAGAAAAAGCAAGAAGGGCCTCCAGGTTAACAAGACTCTGATATTATCACCACACCAGACCCATACCCACCAAATTTAGAAATTGATAGCAAATTCTCGCCCCTCTGAGCAGTTAACCAGAAAACCGTTCTGAGACCACTACTTAATACAATCCAGTCTCTGGTTTTGCCAAATACCAAAGCTGACTTCAGAGGTATCAGAAGGCAGGTCAATAGGCAAAGAAGAGAAAAGCTTCTTGGTGTCAGCCTCACCAGATCACCAGTTGTTCTGCACTGGTTGTCTAAAGTTCACAACCTATGAACTTAAATTTCATTGGGAAATTTTCCTCACTGAGAATGATTGTGTCCTGTGTGTACTATAGCAATAGGAGAAATTCACCTCTGCATGCTGCTTCTCTTCCATAGTATGAAATGTGGGACATTACTTTCCTTTTAAAAATGTGTAAATGTGCAATAACAAAATCCCTATCATCAGTCCTTACTTGAAGGCTCACCTTCCCCCTATCATGTATGTTTAAAACATTTTAATTTCCTGTTCCCCATTAAGTTCCATGGTCCTGATACCCAACTGCTGTATAAATTGTGGGTTTTGCAGATGGCACCATGGAACAAAATCTATCACCATATATTCTGTGTAAGGAATCTTCTGTGCTCTATCCAAAAGCTGTGGTCACTGCTTCTTGCACAGGAATTGCTTTGTCCTATGAAACATGCCTCCTGGGGGCAGTTTCTCTCCCAGTCCTATGTTGGTTTCACCTTCATCAAATTCCTGAACTAAATCTGGTGGCTCCAAGCCTTTTGCCTCATTTTGGAAAATTCTCCCATTCTCCCCTACTAACCCAAACCTGGGAAATGTCCCCAGTAAGGAAAGCGGGGAAGACTATGTCCAGGCTCCATTACAGGCAAGAATGCTCAGTGATACATAAACAAAAGTAGTTAGGTGAGACTTCTAATACTCTTTTGGTGCTCTGTCTTTCCTCCTTCCTGCTGCCCCAAAAGTGAATAAATAATATGGCTGGAGCTCAAGCAGCCTTCATGAGAAAAATGTCAAGAAATCACAGATACCTTAGTCTGACTTCCTTAAGGAACTGAACCAAGGCCACCAATTATCTACTTCCAAACATTTATTGTGAGAAAAATAAACCTTTCTTTGTTTATGCCACTGAAGTTAGTGGCTGTTACTACTAGTCGAAAGCAATCCCTACCACATTTGCCTTTCTTCTGCTTTTGCATTTTCCAGTATTTGAGTAACTTGTTTTACTTTGATGTCAGTAAAAATATTTTTCTGTGTCACAACTTTTTTGGTAAAAGATAATTTGTTTCTGATGTTATATTTCTCTCCATTATTCCCTAGTCATTTCAGAAAGCTTCAACTATGCTTTTAATATTTTAACATGCTTTTTAAATTAGTCCATTTTCCTCTCCTTCATATGGGTTTTATATGTCATCTTTTTTTTTTTGCATTCTTTTTCAACAAACCCTAAGCTCCCCCTAGAGAGATGAACCCCTCTCAAGCTGACTCTGAGTGAAGGTGATATTCTTCGAAATACAAAACAAACAAAATCATATACTCTCTTGTCATGGTAATCTACTCCAGTTTTAGGAGCAGATTCTTACTTAGATAAAAGTCAACAGCAAATGCCCAGTTTTTGTTTTCTGAAGCCATGCAGTTAAAATACAGCTTCAAGATTGCAGCTATAAATAAACTGCCGATGTGGGTATCTGCAGCCTGCAGAGATCAAAGACCAGTACTTACTAAAGAACTTATAACCGGTATGGGGAGTATCTAGATGGAGTATAAACTTGAAACAATTTTAATTCTTTCAACTGTTGCTATCAACTGTGTCTGTTGAATGCTATATTTTCCCTGGGCTTCTTTAACCACATCTCAGTCTAACTTCATAACTGTTAAGTCAATTTTAATTATTGTATCAGTCAGTTTTGTTTCTCTAAGACTCAGTTCTATTCATTTGAAACTTCATGTGAGAATCAAAGCTCTCCTCCTCTGCTCCTTCCCTTCCCCTTCCATCCTCTCTTGCCAAGTTTAGCTAAGGCTCCAGCTGATTTGAGTTGGGGAGTAAGTCACATGCTCTGTTCACACATACCTTCCTCATTCTTCTTCCCTCAGTTTCCCCTTTGATATTGAGAAAGGAAACCAAGAGAAGGAAAAATTGACAGGCTCCTCCCTATCACTAACCTGAGAGGTAGACATCCCTTCCTGTTGATTGATCACAGTACAGACCAGCTCATTGACTATTGGTGATCGCAGCTCCAGTAGGCCCTGTGGATGAAGGGCTCAATCCTAAGCCACTCCCAGAGCCACTGGTGGTCTTTTGTGGGACTCTACTGTATCATGTTTCATTCCTCAACTGTATATGTCTTTTGGCCCCTTGGTACATGGGTCCCTGGTAAGACTGTGGCCTCCCCAATTCCCAGTCATAAACTATGCTAGCAACTCCTATAATAT